TCTTGACAACAATACATAAAAAATGATTAATAGTAGAAATTGTAGTACATGTTTAAAAAGAGAAATGATGTTTAAAAACTAAAAGTTAGAGTGTCTTGTGAAAAAATGTTTGTTGTATAATATAGGGAAATAGTGAAAACTTGTTTAATCATCTCCCTGCTATTCAAATTTTAGTTTTAAATTGCTTAAATTAACTTTAAATAGAACTGAAGCACCTCTTTGTTTTGAACTAAAATGACTTATATTAAAATATCAAAATCCACACAAGTAACACAAAGACTAGAGAAAACAGACAAGCTAGTAAGACCAGAAATCATAGCTTAATTGACCATACGCCTTAGAATAGTCTTAGAATCAATTACTTCAACAAAAGCACTGTGATTTGGTAATCCTCATACACACAATTGTGCCAACCATGATCGACCTACAACATTTGTAACTTGTCCTATCTTGAACTTGACTCTCAACAAAAATAAAGACCAAAACATCATGATCTTTAAACAACAATAATAATCCTTAAACAAAAATAACTGAGAAAGTAAAATAACTCCTAAGAAAAGCACTTGGCGAGCCAGCAACCTAGGCCCACCTATTATACGTTTTTTTGCTCATCCACCACCATAGCCCCCAACATCATGATCTTCCAACTGAAGCACCACTTTATAAACACAACTTGTAATTAACTTTTTAAAAAAAAAAAAAACACTTGTTTAGGCTTTTTCAAAATTAAAACACTACCATGGTTTGCAATGTATACTATCCTATTATCTTTTTGAATTACTATGTTGGAGCAAAAAATGTATGACAATTAAGGGGCTAAAGGAGTTGAATTTTATATTGACGAGATAAAAGTTTAAAAATTTGACATATTTTCTGAAATAATGAATATTTTCTTATATATATATGTGCATAAGATACTAGTATGACATATATATATATATATATATATATATATATATATATATATATATATATATATATATATATATATATATATATATATATATATATATTACATTGCAGGTATTAGCACATCATCTCCATTATTTAAGCAAGATATTAGATTAACAAAAACACATTAAATAATTAAGAGGAAACTAAAGTCCCTAAGTGTAAATACACTCCACAGTCTACAGTCTATCATTCCTCTTATTATATATCCTACCATAATATTTTTCTCGATCACCTCTAAATAAATTTGAACAACTTATATTTTTATCTCTTAACCTTCGCGTCCAATGAAATGGGGAGCTTATTAAGTGACCGATTGAAGGTGTAATATATTTTAATAAAGAATATTAGTAATTAATATTTGGTTTCAAATATAAATAAAAGTATTATATGACTACTTGAATCGGATCTAGGATGTTTTCACTTGGGTAAGATCAGAACAGATCAAACCAAACATACCAGACAATACCAGCCTTTAACAAACCAGAAAAGAGTTAAACGGATCAGACCAGTCCAAATCAGAGTTCGAAAGTTTAAAATACACATAAACAAGTCAGACCATATCAGATCATATCAGTTTTGACAATTTTAGTTCAATTAGAAACATCCTTAATCTCATACATATATGTTTCCCTCTATTTGAACATGTCATGTAGTAGACATCAACGTGCCCAAACATTCACTTTGCTAGCGCATCCCCCACAACACGACTCCTGCAAAGCTAGTTCACCAGGCACCAGCCCTCAAGTCTGCAACACGAACGTGTGGCGCGCCATATTTCGATGCCTCCACTTAAATCGGCCAAGAGGAAGTGACATTAGACATGACAGTCCAACACCTAAATCAATAAACACCAACCTTACACATACATCAATACCCTAATACGTGTTGTTGATGGGAATTGGGGACATAGCTCACCTAGTAGGAATGAAGAGGGTGCCCAAGAAAAGATTCTAAGCTCAAATAACATTCTGATGACATCATAGATGTGGTATTATCCCTTTTTGTTGCTAGGAATTGACTCTAGGTGAATATTACATGTGGAGACTTGAAATGACGTGTTTACCGCACGAGCCACCATCTTTCGAGTTTCCACATAATAAGTCAATAAGGGTTCAAAGTCAAACTTGTTTAGATCTTAAGGAGCTGAGTAACATTCATCTATCCTAGCAAACTTTACGAGTTTAGAATTCATGTTTGCAATGGGGTGTTTGGCAATTGGCTGCTGGCGGTTGGCTGTTGGCCGATTATGTTGGCTGATTGGTAACAGCGGATTCTGTTGGCTGTTTTGATTAGCTGATAATATTAGCTGTTTATGAAATAGTGTTTGGTTATTCGGTTGTTTACCATCGGCTGATAAATCGTTAAATTACTTTTAAGGACATGAGACAATTTGTTTTGTTTACTACCTACTTTTATATTACGTATATGTTTAACACATTTTGCTAAAATTATTAATACCACTTCTTAATTCGTTTTTATTTAAATTTTTTTTAATTAAGGCATGATTTTATCATTTGTCTGGCCTTGGCACATGATAAAGAGGGTTGCTATGACAACCCTTTTTGCCATCCCCTTCAAGTGTTTATGAAAATGACTCTACCTATTCGCTTTTTTTCCGCATAAGATATGGAATAGGAGCATAAGATATGGAATAGGAAGTGCCGAATGAGAAAAGAAGGGAGGTAGTGCGGACAGAATAGGAACATCAGATAAATATCGAAACAGCCAAGTCCAAAACGCTCCATTCTTTAGCTTTTCAAATTTTGGCTGTTTGGCATAAAAAGCCAAATAAAAAAGCCAAGTAACCAAACACCTCAATTAACTGTTTATTTGGTCAAAAAGCTAAATGATGGTCAAATCGGCCAAAAAATAGCTGATAGCCTCTTAACCAAACACACCCAATTAGTTTTTCTTCTTTGATTTGAACTTATCAACTTTCAAATATGGTTATATTCAATTTTGTGTCTCAATAGAGCTTATAACGTAGTCTTTAAATGCGTAAGATTTTAATATTAACACTAATTAAATACTCATTAATTGATGATTAAGCATTCCGTCAACTTTCAAAAATGGATTATTGTTGCCGTACCTTACAAATAAATATAACCCGAAATAGGACTAGAAATCTAAAATAGTTTGAAAATTCCCAAAATTAGGACTAAAATTGTTGCCATGTTTTTATTCCCAAAATAGGACTAATTACTGCCATGTTTTGGCAGTATCAAACTTCAAACATGACAATATTTTCCAAACTTGACAGTAATTACTCCTATTTTGAGAATAAAAACATGACAGTCCTATTTTGAAATTTTTAAACTTTTTTAGTCTTATTTCGGGAACTTTCCCACAAATAAATGAAGTTATCGTAGCGGCCTATGATGGATTTGATTGATTTGAATCATTATTTTATCATTTTTAATATTTAAATTGCTAAATAGCAATAATCTAATTGATTCAGGTAGACAAAATATGGTTGGGGGTTGCTAGAAGCACCCCCATAATTGCTAAACGTAACCTCATTTAGACCATAATGCCCCTTAGTTTTTTAACAAAAGTTTCTATTTGAAGTTTTGAACCGTATAATTAGTCCTTAGGATTATAGACAAATCCCATTAACCATTTTTAATACTCCGTAATGATGACTAAATTATTAGATTGAAGTGCCAAAATCATTTTTTTTAAATGTGTCGAACAATTATTTGTTATAAAATGTTATACTACGCACTACATACTTTCATTTATTCACCAGTTTTGACACAAATATATTGAATTAAATAGTTTTTATGATATTTCATATGGCACATATATGATATTTATAGAATTTAGAAAAATCATTCTTCATTCCTTTTGTAATCATCTATATGTATATACATATATGTAGGAGATCAAATACAAACCATACTTAAAATACTAACCTACAAACTCAATAATATGCAACACTTTGAACTTCAATATGCAGTACAAATAATGTAAAGATGCACACTGTGAATTTCAATATGCATTACAAATAATATGCAACACTTTGAACTTTAATATGCAGTACAAATAATATGCAACACTTTGAACTTCAATATGCAGTACAAATAATGTAAAGATGCACAGTTTGTGACAGTTTGTAGGTTAGCATGGAAAGACTAGTTTGTACGTGATCTCACCCCTATATATATATATATATATATATATTCTTTTTTAACCATATCATTCTTTTTACTACCTCCACCCAGCTAGCATTGAGACATGAGAAAGTGACACGTTTAATAAGAAAAATAGATTTAACTATGTGTTTGATATTGAATTGATAAAGTAAGAATAAACAAAGAGAAAACTGTAAAAAAAATTATAAAAGCATTATATGTGTTACAGAGTCCCGATCCTGTCAGGCCGGCCTGACGGAAACCGCCGTCAGGCCGAGGCCATCAGAGGCCCTTCCCGGTGGAATTTTTTGATGAAATTTTTTGAGCATGTTTCTCATCAAGTCTAGTTTATCCATACCAAAGTTCAGCTAACAATTCAATCGGGAAGGCAGTCAAAAAAATTCTCTACTTAAACTGCACAGTTTATATATAAATAATGCACAGTTTTAGTAGGGAATTTTTTTGACTGCCTTCCCGATTGAATTTTTAGCTGAAATTTGGTATGGATAAACTAGACTTGATGAGGAACATGCTCAAAAATTTTCATCAAAAAATTCCACCGGCGAGATCTCCAAATGGCCTCGGCCTGACGGCGGTTCCCGTACCGCCGTCAGGCCGGCCTGATACGATCTGTCCTCATGTGTTACAAATATTTACATAATAATTGTTGGATGATATTAAGATTTTGAGTACATTTTAAAGATAATCAGTTTTTAAAAATAAAGTTATAACAAAATTCAAGGAAATGCGAAGTATAAAAACCTTTTTTTTAATTTAAAAAGCAATAATTTTCAAAAAAAGATTAAAAGAAATACGAGTTTGGCACTTTGGTCAGTTGGTGCGCTGCATACTTTGGTAAGCCACGAAACTGAATTCAAAATTGAAAGTGGACAAAACGGTCCCACAAAGACGAAAAGATGGTGCGCGTAGTAAGTTTTGGGGTGCGCGGAGAACGAGCGAATATGGTTTTGCTTTGAAAATCCCATTCTTGTTGAACACGTCGTCCCAAACCGTCGCCAGGGACGAATAATTTTCCACTACGCTGCGGCGGCTCTTGGGTAATCGCTTACGTGGGTGATTTCGTCATCAGAAAGACTAGAAATTAAATAAATGAATAAAAGATGAAGAAGCAGATTCTCCGAAGGCGGTAGGATCGTTATTCGTCAGGGGTAAACGCTCTTCCGCGGACCCAAATATATAGGGGACGGAGACGGGAAAGAGGCGGGAGAGCTTTGAGGCGAATTCGTTTATCATTTATTTTTACAAAAGAAGAAGAAAGTCAATTACTTTGATTCTTCAACTTCAACCCATCCACCGTCCTTTTGGGTTCTTAGATTTGAGGGTTATTGTATGAGCATAGGGCTGAGGAGGTGCTGGAAACCGGTGGTTAAGATGGCGGAAGAGATTAATTCATCGCCTGCAGCTGCCACAGTTGCCGGCTCCGGAACAAATAAGAGATCGCTATGGCCGTCCCTTCTCCGGTGGATCCCTACTTCCACGGACCAGATCATCGCCGCAGAAAAGCGCCTACTTTCTCTTGTCAAGTAACAATCCTAAAACCCCCAATTTTAAAATTGGCGAATTTTTCTTGCAATTCAACGCATTCACCATTTCAGTTCACCCCCCTCCCCCCAATTAAAGGAATTGACTGAAGATCTAATTAGCTGTGGAATTCCTTTTGTTGATCTCTTTTGAGATATTTCTGCTTTTTATACCTCTTGTCTCTTGAGCTTTTTTGAACGTTGCAAATATTTCAGTATTTGATGCTAAGTGTCTCGTTTGGATTTTGGAAATGGTTTATAATCAGGACACCATATACGCAAGAGCAAGTTAATATAGGCTCTGGTCCGCCAGGGTCCAAAACTAGATGGTTTAGATCAACAAGCAGTGAACCTAGGTTCATAAACACAGTCACTTTTGACAGCAAAGAGGGATCTCCAACTCTTGTTATGGTTCATGGATATGGTGCTTCTCAAGGTTTCTTTTTTCGCAATTTTGAATTTCTTGCAAAACACTTCCGAGTCATAGCCATTGATCAGCTTGGGTGAGTCTAATGTCACTCCGATTTTATGAATATTTGCAATTAAATGTCCTACTTTGTTGTTTCAGTTGTACTAAACTACTAATTGAAAGGGATTGTTTTGTATTTCGATTTTTATCAAATAAAATATTCTCAAACATGCCATTGGATATCTACTTGGTGCAGGTGGGGTGGATCTAGCAGGCCTGACTTCACATGCAAAAGTACTGAAGGTTAGATGCATTCAGCATTCTTCATACTAGATTTTACTTACTTTTTGTGAAACAAGTTACTTTTTGGTAGGTTAATGTAGAAGAGCCCATTTGGTAAGGGTAAAAAGTTCAGCTTATATAGCTGATTTTTATTCGTTATGGAACAATATCTGGATGAAATTAAGAAAAACATGGAAGAAGGTTAAATTGATTTACATCAGTAAATTCTGCCAAAAAGTAAATCAGGCATATTTGACCATTAATAACCAATTCAGTGCATGGACTTTAAGGGAGATAAGATGAAAAAAGTAGTCACCAAACTGTCCAAATGGATGCTAAGTGCTAACATTATTAAACTCAATAATGTTTATTTATTGTGTATTGTCATTTCTTTCATTTGCATTGTTACTTGCAATACAGAAACTGAGGCATGGTTCATTGATTCTTTTGAGGAGTGGCGCAAGGCCAAAAACCTGACCAATTTTATTTTACTTGGTCATTCATTTGGAGGCTATGTTGCTGCAAAATATGCACTTCAGGTAAATTCCTTTTCCCAATTTAATTATTGAGCCAATGAAATTGCTTCACTGGTCGATGTTAATTTTGTTGCAATTCTAGCATCCGGAGCATGTTCAGCACTTGATACTGGTTGGTTCTGCTGGGTTTACATCTGAAACAGACATGCCTGAGCGGCTAACACAGTTCAGAGCAACATGGAAAGGAGCTGTTTTGAATCATTTGTGGGAGTCCAATTTTACCCCTCAGAAGCTTATTAGGTATGTGGGTTTAACGCCACCTGTATCTAGTAAATAGTTTTTTCTTCTTCTTGGACTACTTGTAAATGGTATAACCTTTAACCATCTCAATTTTACCCCCAAGTGAATAAGTGAGGGTGAGATAATTAACGGTAGTTCAGAGAAAATTTCACCATTCTTTGAACCCTTCCTAACCCTCTCCGTAACTGTATCATTGTCTTGTTTTGAACTATTGCTACTCACTAGTATCTTGTTAATGCTTTTATTTCACTTTTTGTTTTCACAGATTTACCAATGTTTCCATTTTTTGGGATTTCTATGTATGATTACATTTATATTTTTGGACTGATTGATGCAGGGGTTTAGGTCCATGGGGACCAAATCTAGTTCGCAGATATACTGGTGCTAGGTTTGCTGCGTATTCAAGTGAAGATGCTCTGACCAATGAAGAGTCTAAGCTACTCACAGGTAGCTTCAAATGAACCTACTTCATTTGGTACCCTGAGTTAATGACATTTTCTAAATTCAGAACCTTTTTTGTTGTTGGAAGATTATGTATACCATACTCTGGCAGCCAAAGCAAGTGGGGAGTTATGCTTGAAATATATATTCTCTTTTGGAGCATTTGCTCGTAGTCCTCTTTTACACAGGTAAGGTTGAGGTTGTCCCTTGTGTGAATGGAGCGATTCCATCATCTTTTCGTAATCCTATAATTCTTTGACTTGTAGACTAACTGCTCATTTGGTACACGAAGAATTGTCGAGAGTCATACTTATGTTAGAGTCAGACATAGCAGTATCGAAGTTCTTGAGTTGAACTAGTTAATTAATGAGAGAATTTCCTAAATGGGAGTAAAAACGTTTTGAAATTCCAAAATACGACTATCATGTTTTTTATTCCTTGAATAGGAGTAAATTTCTGCCAAGTTTGGCATTACTAGGCTTTAAACATGACATATTTTCCCAAACTTGGCAGATTATTCCTATTCAGGGAATAGATAACATGATCCGTTTTGGAATTTCAAAACGTTTTTACTCCTATTTAGGGCAATTTTTGTTAATTAATTGGATTCTATCTTGTAATAAAATTTGACCCAATTATTTTATGGCACAGTTTAGTAACACAAACCTCATACCGAATTCTATTAGATGAATAGAGGAATGCAATTTAAATTTTGTTGGAGAAGAATATTTGGGAAATGAAAGAGGAGTGCAAATTAAGTTATGTAGTTTTGTTGATTACAATCACGGAGGAAACGAATAAAGAGAAAAATGCCTTTAGAATAAAAGCACAACCCTCACAAAGCATGGGAATTTCAGTCCATTGAACCATATTTTTGCTGCCAAATAGCAAGGGAAAGTTATTCTAGATGTGTGGGTTAGGACATTCTTTTTCTTTTTCACATCTACGAAGTAAAGATTTTGACTTCTGGACATAGGATTTTAGGAAATTTCTACTTTGGGAATTAACAAGGAATAAACATTCCCGCGTACCAAAATGACCTAATACAGTTGTGAAAATAAAATTAGAGAAATAATTATAAAGTCTACAACATCCTTGGTTTTGCACCTTAAAAAGGAAATCATATTACTGACCTTTTATAGTTGCATGGTTGCAATGTTAAATTGGATCTTGTGTCTATCCCTTGCAGGGCACCGGAGTGGAAAGTGCCCACAACATTCATATATGGTTTTGAAGATTGGATGAAGTATGAAGGAGCCGTAGTAGCACGCAAAAACATGAACGTTCAATGTGAAATCATAAGGGTACCTCAGGTCAGTCCCACACCTTCTTTCCTTCTTATTAAGACTTATAGTTCCGCACTAAAAAGTGGACTGGTTAGAATGGTCAATGCCTTATATGTGACTTTGTACTTGCCTGTGTTGGATGACTTAACAGTTTCACAATCACATTCACCTAATGTTTTGATATACAACATTGATAAAAGTTTGTTATTTTTGGGAATTGCAGAGTGGCCATTTTGTGTTTATAGAGAATGCTGCTGGTTTCCATTCTGCTGTATATTATGCTTGTCGTAGATTTCTTTCACCCGAGAAAGACAGCTGTTCACTTCCAGAAGGCCTGATGTTGGTTTAATGTAAAAGGTTGCGGTGTAAATTATACGGAATAGTACAGAAGTGTAATAATATCCTGTTCTGAATTTCAATACTGATCATTTATTTGTGTTGATTCGTTCCTGCATTCAAAATAAATGACCAAAACACGATTCTATCTTCTCTATGATCAATAAATTAATAGAAAAAATGACCAAAACACGATTCTCACTCTTATATATAGCAGTACTTCACAATTTTCAAAACAATCCAAAATAGGATTAAACTATTCCAATTCTTGAGTTGATTTTATCTGAGACCGAGAACAGACCATATCAGAGATTCAGAGCTAAACCAATTTAATGATTGTGGTTGTCAACTTTGTGTTTGCTGTGAAATAAGAAAGTAAAAATTCTATGATGAAGCCTGTTGGACTCGGGCCGGGCCTAGGCCTGGTCGGGCTTTTGAAGATTGGGGGAAGGCCCGGAACCGACCCGGGGTTCCACCGGGTATGGTCCGGGCCACGCCTCGGGCCAGCTCCTACTTTTTTTTTGTCTTTTATAGTTATCCCCCCAAACCACCCCAAAATCCAAATGGCCCAAAACACCCAACCCAACCTGGGAAAATAAAAAAAATTGAAAAAACAAAAAAAATAAATTAAAAGCCCAAACCGAGCCCAGCCCGGCCGGGCCGGTTCCATATTTCCATGACCCGAGCCCGCCCAACAAAACATCTGGGCCGGTCCTACCCGAACCGGACTCTGGCGGGCCACCGGGTTGGGTAGGGCCCAAATAGTACCGGTCTCGGGCCAGGCTGCCCGGCCCGAGTCCATCACTAGATGAAGGTTGTGCGAGAAGAAAATAATCAAAATCACAAATTCATTAAGTGTGTGTTTGGTAGCCACACGTTTTGACTTTTCAGGCTTATAGCCAACTTTTTCACCAAACACATAACTTTTGATTTTACGGGCTGAATTGTGTAATAATAAGATTGAAATTACTTTTTGGCTGTATTGGCTGAAGTTACCGTAGAGGTCCATTTTAGCTATTTTTCATATAATCTTTTCTTATATTATTAATAAAATATATTTTAAATTATTATTTTTCACAAATTAGCAGAATCAGTCAATACAACCACATCAATCAGAACTTCATAAATTTCATCAGAATCAACCAATACAGCCGATTTGGCTATTACCAAACGGGCTCTAATTCAAACCTCAAATTGAAAGGTAAAGTTTTTGGACAAACAAAAAAGGAAAAGTTTACAAAATCCAATGAGATGAAGAGAGTAATATATACAGAGTAAGAAAATACATATGGGGTAAAGATAGACATATACCAATTCATACATTACTAGAAATAAATAGATTAGACTAGATCACATCACATAGTTGCCACTATACGAATCAAATGGGCATAATACTATATGTGGCCATAGAATATCAATACGAATACAAATCAAATTTTCAGTTCAAACATCTTTGAAATACGAATACAAATAATTATGTATTTGATTCGAATAATAATGAAATAGATATTCACTTATACATGAATAAAATCAACTATCTAGTATGTGTGTGCGCATCAACTACCTACTATATGCGTGTGTAGTATAAACTAGATATCTAATAGTGTTTTTTAATTATCAATGATGCTAAATATCTAACATAATATTAGAATCGTTTGACTTTGATATATACAATTATCAACTTATTTTACACATTATAGGTATAATTTCTAATATGCATGTGTTAGTGTTGATTCATTTGAGTATATTGTGCACAATTTAAAAACACATTGATCCATTGAATTTTAAAGAAAATATAATGTTACAAATAAAATTCTAAAAACACATATTAAGTCATAGAATGCATTTATAACATAAGAAATATAGGAAAAGTTGTTTTAAAGCGATATCTGACTAATATTTAACTTATGATCAAATCGATTGATAGAGCATATAGACTCGGACCCCCCGAGTCTCACAACTATGGGGCATGGATAGCGGCCCACACACGTATCAGATGTCATTTATATTATTGTAATGCTCATATATCGTTTGTATCTACTGGATTAGACTTCTATGTTGTTGGGCGTATCAGGTCCATATTAGCGCCCCAGCCTGTTATTTCTCTATTTAAGATGTTTTTACTTAGACTGTAATCTGTTTCGGACCAGACCAGGCTAGATCAGATCAGACCGGACCTGACTAGACTTGGATAGTTATAAAAATACTAAGAGACCAGACATTACCAGACCTGACCAGACCAAACCAGACCAACAAATTACGGTCCAAGTAAAAACATACTTATACTCCTAAGGGGGGCCCTTGTAAACCTAGAACAACATAAGTCACTAGAACACAACTCATTCAACATTACTATTCATCTTCTCCACATTTCTTGCTCAATCTCTCCCTTAGATACCCTATTATCCATCATCGACTCGATATTCGTGTATATGATTCGTTAACTATTCGTATTGTTACACATATGAATACAAATCGAAAATAATATTCGTTTAATATTCGAATTCGTATTCGAAAAATTAAACAAACACAAAGAAAAAATCACGTTATTCGACTCGATTCGGTTCATTTACAATCCTACATGACATGAGAAAAGACAAATAACTAATTAAAAAGAACAAATAGAATTATCTTTTTTTTTTTTTTAAACTGTCTTATATATTTGTTTCTAAGAATCTCAACCATAATGTTACGGAGTATTTTTTTAACCAAACCAGGTAAGAACATTGGAAGTAGCGTTGTAGATCTACATTTTCAAATGTTTCGGCGGGGAAGATGGAAAAACCTTTAGTTTCACCGTCGTCAACTCTTCTGCGGATCCCGACCTTTACAGGCCGTTGAGAAGCGTCTTCGGTCTCTTCTGGAGTAAGGATCTTACATTCTAACATTTTAGAGTTTCCAGATTGTGGATTTTCAAATCAAGTATCGAACAACACTAAACTATCGAATGCATTAAGCTTAAAACTAACACATTGCCTTCTTCTTTAATTTCTAGTATGCAAATTGTTGCTCAGTTAGGGTTAGCATTCTACCCATACCCCAAAAAGGTCTTGCGAGGTTTCTTAGGTCGAAGGGCAAAGCTGAGTCCGAACATTTCCTTAGGGGCATCACTTGGCTCAATGAGTCCGACCAATTTTGCAACAAGGCTTGCACTTTCCTGGATATGCTCCATATTTTTTGTGTCCTTCCATAGAAGTTCACGCAGTTGCCGTCTTCTATGGCGTGTTTTTGCATTTACACCCCATTTATCAAACAACGCCTCTCTTTCCTTTCTTCCGTATTTCTTCCGCATTTGCCTGCTCAGCATTTTCCTCTCCTGCTTCAATGCTTTAATGCTGTTCTTGACCACAAGTATAGAAAAAATAAATTTTTATCATTCCCCGCTCCTATGGGAATTTGTATGTACACAGGATGAATGAATGAAACGAGAATGCTATACATGTTTTGTGTAATTCATTGTCGGTTATAGTCATTCAACTGGTTTATCATTGCATATGGTCATGACCGATAAAATCCAGTCGATTAGCCACTTGAATCCAAAGTCTTAAAAACTTGTATATCGTGCTTAAAATGTATTGATGTGTGTGATTCTTAATGGTGCAGTTGACCCCCTTGATTCAGGAGTGAGGCTTGGATGCTTGGTTGTTATTATTTATGATGATGATAATGATGATGATGATGAGGAAGAGATGGAGAAAATGGAAGAGATAAATTACCTTGCAGACCTTGTCAAAGCTTGACCGTCTTTAACGACTTCAGCTCCTTGAGACCATCTGTTTTTGAGAAAATATAGACGTCGAAGCTCCACCTCCATATATACCATATCTGAGGGGTCTCCTTTGAAAAGAAGGAAGAAATAGGTCCGGTGGACGAGTGGTACATAACACTCATCCCAAAGCTCAATAATTTCTCTCATCTTCCTATCAAATTCCAGTGACCCGCCGCGACTTGTTTGTTGTGAACTTGTTGCTATAGATAGACCCTCACATGCATATTTCACAAATTCCCTGTGTATTTCTTCTGCTTCATATAGCTGCAAAGTAATATGATTTTAGATTCTCCCAATCAGCCTTCACAGAATTGAGATATACAAACATGAATGATGATTAATTAATGAATGAGATGCACAAGCCAGAATCTCACCAACTGGAAAAGTTGCTTTTCCGACTTAGCTTTGGAATCTTTTGTATCATCACAATGTTTCTTTTCAGAAATGGTTTTAATATCTTCATTTTGTTTTGTTGCAAAACCTGCTTCACTGGATCTTGTAATGCCCATTATTCGAGTTTTCTCATCACATTCTTTCTGTCTTCCATTAAAATCATTTTTAGATTCATTTGTTGCCTCCATATTTACCTTTCCTGTTTCATTTGTTGAATCTAAGGCTCTTCCACTGCAATCCGTTTCTATGCATATGACTTCCTTCCAGTTTTCTTCCAAACGCTGATGATATTCATGACCAGCATTCTCCCAACCCTTACATGGCTCCGGACCGAAATACTTTTCAAAATAGATACTAGGGGAGGTGTCATCTGAGAGAAATTGGTCATCAGGTACTTCTTGAAAACTATCAAATGACTCTGAAAAATGTGATTTGCCTGATGCAATATCTGACCAAAAAGGATCGACCGTCTCTGAAGCTTCAGATGCCGAATGATATTCAGGAGTTTCTGATTGGTCATTTGAATCGGCCTATATGCAAACTAAGACGAATCAAGACACCGTAGAGAAATAGGAATATACAAACCAGCACAATAATGGCCTAATGTGTACGAGCTACTCCTTATATCAGTTTGAACTTTGATGTACAGAATATACAAAATATATCTTCATTCATACCCATGATCTTGAATGTAGCAAATCACGAATCCAAGACTGAGCTATATCCCGCTGCCGCACCAATTCTCTGATTTCATTATCCATCTGAATGCATTATTGAAACATTTGATAGAGAACAAACAGCAGGGTATCACTATAAGCTAAATCCTGAACCCAACCCCCACCCCACCTTTTCAATAAGAGCTTCCTTTGCCTTCATTGCTGGAGTTGTGAATGCAGCCAAGTTCCTCAATTGAGTTTCCAGTCTTTCCACTTCACTCTGCAATTGCCTCACCAATGCCTTCTCTGTCATCACTACATTAACATGGGCTTTGGTAGAGACCTGTTTGGCACATGTCGCAAACATAAGTGTGTTTCTTGACTGCTCGGCCTGACTGCGTGCAGGGCTCATCGTGCAAATGATTGACGTTCTAGCATTTCCTCCCAGTGAGTTCTGTAATATACGGGTTAGCTTGGAGTCTCTGTATGGGATGTGCCCATTTCTTCCTTTACTGATCAAAGCCAACAACAACATTACCCCAGCGCCGCAAAGCCAACAAAATATGTTAAATCAGCAATAGCAAACAGAGATCTAGAAGGGTGGTATGAGTTACTTGAAATAATGGATGGATATTGCTAGCTAACCTTAGTTTACGAATACATGTTCCTAGGGCCAGCAAACTTCGGTTTATGTGGCAACCCTCTTTAAGTCTTGGAATGGTTGATACTGTTTGAGAAGATCGTTCACTCCCTGCAAGATCAACAAAATCCTGCATTGCAGCACATTTGTAAACAAATTTCACTTCTCTCCCGTTCCTTTTTAGGACTATAGGAATTCACACTTCCACACTCATTTTCAGACACTATTTTACTTATTACATTGAAAAAGGACATATATTTTAAAATAATTAAGTTCATTTAGCCATATCAACAGTACACAATTTTAGCAAATTCAGCTCATTCGGACACTAGCCATTTAATGTAAGTCATATTTATACGAAGGTAAGGAATTAAGGATTTCCTTTCATACCGCTGAAGCTAATAAAATGCTATTGTTCCGAGTGCGAGAGATTTGGGTAGCACAACTTTCAACTGTCTGAAAGATCACTAAAATTAAGATATTAAATGCAATAAATGCTGACTAGTATTACTTCCGCACCCCCAAAAATGCTTCTGGTTTGTAATTTTACAACAAAAAGGAAGCCTAGTGCACATTGGCGTCCCCGCACCGCATAGTTCGAAGAAGGGTCCCACCACAAGGTGTTGAACGAGCAAGCCTTCCCTTGTCATTTTGACAAGAGATGGCTCCCAAGACTTCTACCCGTGACCTCTCGGTCACACGGTAACACTGTAACCAGTGCACCAAGGTTCCCTTTTTTTGGACTGAGGAAGTATGTGTTTATAACTCTACCATTATATAAAAGTGAAATACTACGTACCAGCCGCAGGATCTGATGAGACCTAGAGCTCATTTCATTCATACAGGTTTCTCCTGTTCGTCTTTGTGCTGCAAAAATGCAATACTAGTAAATGATGTTTGATTTTAATTAGACAGGCTCAATGGAAACCCCTTGATTGAATAAGAATAAGAATTGCAAGCACATTAGCACAATTAAGAGAAGGAACTGCTATCTTTTTTTACTAGGATAATTGTAGGAAAAACACATTGATTGTCCCTACTATGCCTCTTGGTGTGGTCAATAGGGACTCATTAGAAGTTTAGAAGCTCAATAGGACCAACAAGGGCTTAAGTATTATACTCCTCATCCTCTGAGCCGTGATGTTAAAAGGGAAGTTAAAAATGGGGGTCCCTCTTACCTTCACAGATAAACAAAAGTTCCTTCACATGTCTCCAATCTCTCACAGTCACCTCTGTAAGTCTCTCAACAACTGTTCCTTTCTGTGCAGGATGGAAAATGTCATAGGAAACTTTCATACGAAATCAGTCAAAAAAATCATATCTCAAAATACTAACCTCTGGATCATCGAGAAGCCTAAGTGGTGTACTATCTGAGCTTAGGAGGTCCTTGACAGACTCATTGTAGATCTCCATAGCTGATAACTTCAGCGTATATCTCCTTTCTTCATGCTAGATATTCAATACAATGAAGTGATGAGTAATTCGCTATTTCTTATGATCCATTTGGAACCAATAAAAAACATAGACAAAGAAAATAGGGAAGAGAATAGAAAAGAAATCCGGCTGGAAATATATTTGGGGGAGGATATAAAAAAGGTGTTTGAACTCAAAACATCAACTTTACATAGTTCTTCATGTTCATTTTATTTATATAGCTCTATTATTATAAAAATGTCCAAGGTCCAATCAAACATAAGTAACCGTTTTTCTTAGCATTCTTTCCTTTTACCATTTTCTACAGACAACACAGCCTAAGTCCTTACGGTCTGTCTGGATCCTGAAAATATCAGCCAAACAAAATAGGAAGGAAAAGGTAGAGGAAAATTGGATGGAAGTACAATAGGAGGGATAATTAGAGATACTAAATCAAACACGGAGTACTAAATTTATCACATTGGATATTTTTTAGTGCCGTTTATCTATTATGTCTATTGCACAAAGACTAGAAGAATTAAACATATGCAGATTTTGAAAAGGAAACATTTTCCTTTGCAATATCGAAGAAAAAACTAACCACGAGAATATAATTTCCCTTGGCACTTTTTTGCAGGATTCAAAATTAATAGCATATGAAAAACTTTTAGTTAGAGTGAGTATTAAAATTCTGAGCACCTTCTTTGCATAGTTAAAGATATCAGCCATGGCGAGCTCAGTAATCCCAGACATGGTATATGTCTTTCCACTGCTTGTTTGACCATAGGCAAAGACACTTGCTGGATTGTCATTTTTGCAAGAAATTAGGCATGTCTCTGTAGCCTTATTGACATCAAAACCAATAAAGCCAGGGAAAGGATATATACATACAGTTAATGCCAGTTAGGACAGTAAGAGCCACCCTTTTTGCAGCTTCTTCATAAACTTGCTTTGTAGAGCAATCCCACCCAAATACCCTGTCTATACCATGAACTGTCAACCAATATGGAGGACATATGACATTAAGGCTCCATTTGTTTCTGGGAATATACATTCATGGAAAATGCTTTCTAGATTTTGATGTGTTTAGCACAGCAAAGTAGTGTTTTTTCTGTGTTTTGCACAGAAGGAATTCTTTTCCCAAATTCCTGAAAGCGAGGAGTCATTTTCCTGAAATAGTTTTTCTGTTTTTGTGGGTCAAACATTACATTATACACAGACAACTTATCTTCCTGAAAAACATTTTCCACATCAGTTTATATTCTTGTCATCAAATGGAGCCTAAGGATGCAAAAACATAGGACCAATGTTATTAAAAATGCTAGGCACAGTAAATACATTGGGAGTCTAATGCCAAGACACGAATTTGAGCACTTACTATAGGATGATGGTTTTGGCAAAATTATCTAAAATTTACCATCAATTAATATCACCCATAATTATTCACTTGGGGTAAATTTGAGTTACTTTTACCATTCTTTGTTTGAATCCTTCTTTCCCTATATACATATTTATCCTTAGACTGTTTCTTGATAAATGAAAACAAGGAGAAATGTTCTGTAAATCATTACATGGTTTAGGCTTCTTATACAATAATGGTTTGTGATATACATAAAACATCTTTATCAACCAACCATACCAAATTGGTATGCTGTAGGAAGCAAGGAACGTTCTCCGAGATTACTATTGTTGTTGTTTTTGTACATGACAGTGCTATTGTTGATGCATTCCCAATCTGAGACGTCGTTCCGGGAAATCTCTCTCTCGTTGAGAGGCCTCAACCTTACAGCAACAAAGATCTTCTCGTCATTTGTATTTGAACCCATTTCATCATTCGGTTGGAATTTGTGTTCTTCCCTATAGGTTGAACCCATTTCTGGAGTCTTATTCCCAAAAGATGATGTTGTAGGATCAATACTTTTTTTATGAAAGGCTATAATAAGATTTTTCCAAAGGAGGTCCCCTCTCTTGTTCAAAAAGAGAGGAACAAGCTTGGAATTTCTAAATGCGCCAAAACCGCTGTTTATATTCTCTTATTTGCAAAACCCCAATGAATGCATTTACATTCTTCTTCGTATATTGTTTTCTTTCGCTCATGAAATGCAAGTGTATCTTTTTAACTGCCGAACAAGGCTATGCAAAAAACGAAGACATTTGCATGCAGAAATGTTATCTGGCTTTAATTATATTAAGTGAAATAAAGAAACGTTGAACTCCCCCCCCCCCCCAAAAAAAAAAAAAACACAAAAAGAAAAAACTTTGGCTGTTTGATATTTTTGTTTTTATTGTAGGACCGTATTACGAATTAAAATAAATAAAAAATTGTATCTGAAAATAATTGTGAAATTAAAGTTTTAAAAATTAAATTAATTATTGTTAAAGAAGGTTGAATGGCAAAGGTTGTGGGAGAAAGAAACTTTGGGTTAAGCTAAAACTCCGCAAAGACATGAGATGTTAGAAACAAATGAAGTTTTATGAAAATCAATAACAAAAGTAAACCGCGGGGAAGCTAATCAAATCTTCACATTTGGCATTTCCTGTTTTCCTTTCAAGTATAAAAGTAATTGGTTTTACATCAACTCAAGTGAGTATGAAGCAAGCTTTTTACAAATATTATTGAAAAAAAGTTACTAGAAACAATTTTTCGACGGTCACAATAAATTATTAGTGAAAAAGTAACGAACACATTACGTTCGTAGCTTTGTAATTTTATTGTATTGTTAATTACATAATATCCATATGTAGTAGTTACCTTTCCAATTGGACATCGAAAATTTATTCCCCCATTATTGGTTTTATAAATTATTTTTGGTGTTCACTTATCAAATATGGTTTGGTAAGGAAACCAACTTTCATTAAGTTTAACACACATTTGGTGTCATTGCTCGTTCATTATTAAGCTCATTTGTCCCAAAATGATAGATGATAGATAAATGGATAAAGTGAGAAGTTAAAAGCCAATGTAGTTTAATTTAGAAAATTGTTCGTATTTTCAGACAATTCGAAAAGGAAAGTATTAAGTGTACAAATAAGCAAAATTGTAAATACGATTGAAACGGCCATTGATGTCCAATCATGCAGCGCCCTAGCATGATTTCACTGGATCTGTAGATGTATCCATCTCGATAGAACACCAATACTTATTTCGATGTGAAATGTGCTTATATACATAGAATTCACCTTTCCCGTCAATGACGGGTTCAAGAGGCGAACGAGCCGTTGCTAGGGCATAAAAAGGTCTAGAAAAAGACGCCCTAACTTTTGAGAATGCCTCCAATATGTGTAAAAAGTAAAATGATATCATGTAGCCATTCACGTCTCTAACTTTAGTAGGAACCACTCATAAAATAATTATCAAAATTGATAGGAGAATCACAACACTGGACATACTAAGGAATAAGTCACTCCACTTGGACATTTTTCGAGCAATGGAAAAGATGAAAATAGCACTCCAAGCAGATCAACAAAAGGTGGCAGTGCTAGGCTTTATTTTCTCTTCCCCATGAACTCCCATACTCTTCATATTACACGTATAATTTTCTGTAGAAAATAAAATTTATATATACTACATTAAACACTCCGTATAAAAATAGTTAAAGAAAATAAGTTAAAAAGAAGCCATTTGACCAATGAATGATAAGTGGAAAAGGCAAATTGAGAAAGAATTCTTAAATTGTTAATAGGATTTTTTTGAAATAACTGAACACAAAAATGGTTGAGTGGGAACATATATATTTTGAATTATATACTAAAAGAGCATATGTATTCGAAATATTATACAGAAAGCATACTTGCACTAATCATATTTATCACGAATGGTTTATTTATCACTTTCGAACATCTCATGTTTGTTGTAAAAAAACATCTCATCTGTTTAAACAAAGAACCGTTTTAAAATTTAAACAAAAAAAGAACTTTAAATATGTGCATATGGTTAATAACTTTCAAATTTCACAATGTTAATGTATGTGTAAATAAAAACATAAATATTGTGGAATAGCTGCAAGGATTGGAATGCTAAGTTGCCAACCATGCACTAAACGTAGAAAATTAATTATACAAATTTAACGAACTGCAAAACACTTCAACATTTTTTTACATAAAATTGTTCCAAACACACAAGAGTTTGATAGAATTTTGGTTTGCAAGGAAATGAGCTGTTTCCAATAAATATGCTTATATGCATGCAAGATTCGTTGTTGTGTCATCCACCGAGCATGAACACCCCACCCCACCCCAACATAAGTGTTTTAACGCTCTACCTTACGTAAAAAACAATCCTTTTTTGTCTCAAATCCCCACATTACCTATAAATCACCAAAGATTATTATTATTAAACCCTAACCCAGCAGCATTAAGCATTTCATTTCAACTATGACAGACTTCAAGGCTTGGCAGGTAAGAAAAGCATTGTGCATGAAGATTCCTCTAGTTATAGCGGCAATAATGACAGTTTCGGCCATTGCAGTTGTAGCATCAGCAAGAAAAGATATACCATCATTCTCGCCTTCTCCGCAAAACAATGAACATAGACAGGGGAATGTTGAAGAATTACCATTGAGGCAAATGGAAGAAGACTACTACGGTGCGTGGGACCCAGCACCGTTCTTCGGTGGCAGCTATCCAGCTCCGGTTCCTCATGGCATCATGGGAAGAACAAGAAGAAGAAAGTTCATTGTTGTGCCCAGGCCACCACCAAGTTAAAGAGGACTCAACAGCAAAACTAAGTCTGTCTTACTGAACTGAATGTCATTATTCTAGATATAGATACACATACATATGCAATTGCTATACAATGTATTCTGATATGTATGATTATTTTGCCCATTTAATACCCAATTTGGTATCTTGACTGTATACTGTTGCTCAATTTGGTCAATGACAACGAAATTCCATGCAATCATATAAATGGAAACGTGAATCAGAAAACATGTATTAGTATTTAAAATAAATAAGCAAAACAGAATGTTAGAAAGAAAAATAGATAAACAGACACTAACTTCCTTGGAGATATCTCACAAAAAGTAAGATATTAAAAACCCAAAATTTCTGTAACGCTAAACAATTATACAAACACGGCGAAATGAGCTGTCATCCCTGCCAGAAGTTCCTGTGCTTCTTAGGTCCTCACTCAATATACATATTTGGTTCTGGATATGAGATTTTTTTGTATGTCAACTGAATTTAGACCATCTTTGACACAGGAATTCTTTAGTCCTCAGAGACACGCAAATAGCCCCTCCCTGATTAGAGAAAAATAGAGGAGCATAAAATCAATCTAAATTGCCCTGGCAAGGACCACATTGAGACCAAAAGGAATTCAATGATCAACTCGTGTCATAGCATATAATCTTGGAAGCAAACAAGGTAATAGCTCAGCTTACGTTTAAGTGGTTTTTAGGGTTGGTTTGCAACTCCTTTTAAAAAAGCACTTCTCAACTTTTGACTTTAAAAAAGCACTTAGGGCCTGTTTACTAACAGAGATATTTTCCTGTTTTCTACTTCTGTTTTTCGTTCTCCAATTTTCTGTTTTTATTTTTCAGTTTTTCTATCTCCAATTTTCTGTTTCTATTTTTTAGTTTTCCATTTTCAAATCTGAAAACATGTTCATCAATTTTTTCACACAATTCTCCAATTCCACACCCTTGACCCCTACCTCTACCCTTACCACGATCTTACACTCTACCCATACTCCACCACAACCCTTCATACCCACCCATACCTACTCGTAGGGGTCGGGTAGGGAAGTTATGGGTAAGGGTGGGGTAAGGGGTATGGTCGGGGCGGGGTGATAAGGTGTAGGGGTAGGGGGTTGGGTTGGGGTAAGGTAGGGGTAGGGTAGGGAGTTGGGATAGGATGGCGGTAGGGTGGGGTCGGGACCAGGGTGGGGCCGGGGTAGGTAAGGGGTAGGGTTGGGGTGGGGTGGCGATAAGGGTGGGGGTAGTGGGAGGGGTTTGGGGTTGGGGTAAGGTAGGGGGTAGGGTAGGGAGTTGGGATATGATGGCGGTAGGGTGGGGTCGGGACCAGGGTGAGGCCGGGGTAGGGAAGGGGTAGGGTGGGGGTAGGATGGCAGTGGGGGTAGGATGGCGGTAAGGGTGGGGGTAGTGGGTAGGGTTTGGGGTAAGGTAGGGGTAGGGTAGGGAGTTGGGAAGGGGTAAGGTAGGGGTAAGTGGTAATATACGAGAGGTGGGGTAGGGTGGGTCGGGGTGGGGTTGAGGTGGTAGGGGGGTGGCGGTAGGGTAGGGTGGATCGAGGTGAGGTCGAGGTGGTAGGGGGTGGCGGTAGGGTAGGGTGGATTGGGGTGGGGCCGAGGTCGGGGCATGTGGTGGGGGTGGGGTAAGGTCATTATAGGGAAAAATGGGTTTGCGGGGTGGGGGTAGGGTGGGTAGGGGTAAGGGGTAAGGTGCGAGGATGGAGGTACCAGAATGGAATCGACATCGGAGCGGGACCGGACCCACCACTAGGTGTAAGTATGCAAATTCATTGCAAAGGCACTGTAGCATCTGCGTTTTCCAAATTTGGAAAACTAGTAAAAGTCACTTCTCCAAATCATTAAGGAAAAGAGAGACATGTTTCATTTTTTCCGTTTTGAAAAACGATTTGGTAAATGCGTTTTTCTTTTTTCCTTTCTCCAGTTTTCCAGGAATTTCTTTGGTAAACACGTTTCCTGTTTTCTGTTTTCCAGTTTTCCAGTTTTCTGGAAAACTGGAAAATATTTCTGTTAGTAAACAGGCCCTTATTTTCCCAAACACTACAACTTTTATTTTTCTCGACTTCCGCGTGAAAAGTGCTTTTTACTTTTTCTATTACACAAAAAGCACTTACTTTACCAAACACTACCCACTTTTACTTTTCAAAATCACTTTTTTTCTCAAACACTATCAACTTTTATTTAATCACTTCTCCCCATTTCATTTAAAAAAAGCACTTTTTTAAAAGCAGAAGCTGTTGCAAACAGACCCTAACACTTCGTGGCAGCTATGTGCATATGGAATTGGTAAAATGAAAACCTTGAAGGTAACAATAAACTGTTAGAACTGAAAAGTGTGCAATAAACTCCCAACTCCCAATGTCAGAAATGAAAAGATGGTCAGATAACCCTTTCACCATTGTAAGATGGTTTAATAATCTCGAGTATAATATTATATAACAAATTATGCAATGCCTAAGATTAAATGATAAAACATAATTTTTATGTTATCATTACATCCAACAAAAATTGAGTCCTCTGCAAAAGTATGGCCTAGTAGAGCTACAGTTTGATACAAAATGTAGAGCAGCAGGGGAACTTCAATCCATGTGCCCAGCAAAATGTGGCCTAAAATCTTGTTACCTGTTTAAGAGTGAATCGCAAAAAAAAACAAGTTACTCCAAATATGTGATGAGAGTTCATTTCTCGTCTATGAAACAAGTCAGAAACTTATGGAAGGAGCTATGTTTCTAAGTAAATGTAGAAAGCTTTCCTAAACTTTTAGATATCACTAACAATAAACTAAAGGTCTATTTAAGCAAGAACCAAGAAAACTACAAGATAAAAAATGTCCTAGCCATTTATTTTGAACTAACTAAGAAGCCAAAGCCTAAAAAGGGCTCAATATCTAGTATGGAGTAATGCACAAGGCCAAGTGAAAACTAGGTAAGACCTGACTAAGATATCAAATTAAAAACAAAAAAATCAGTGCAACCACAGTTTTTAAATGTGGACAGGAATTAGCATATGGCCAAAGTTCCTCCATGGGGCACCACTACCATAAACTACCATTTTTCACAGATTTTCTAGCGTTATGGCAAATCATACAGAATATGCTGTGCCATTTTGCCATGGACAGTAACCTCAGAAGTCAGAATAGTACTTTGCCAGGAGCATTTGTTGTGTAAAACATTAAATACATACATAAGACGTCTCCCAGATGGACCAGTGAAAGCAGCAACTTTCTGAGCACGGTGAGCTTCAGACTTATATAGCTCTTTCATTTCTTTTTTTGCACGACGGGCCTCACGCTTTTCTTCCTTGACAGCAGACTGTACATTCCAATAGAAGCATCAATAGATTACCATATCTACCCAAACATGATTTCTGTAGGGGATGGGGATGTGCATCGATCTCAAGAATATATTGAAGGCAACATCTGATGTTAAGCACCAATGATGTTGTGATGATAATATTCATTGAAACCTAGCTTTATGTATATCTTGGCTTGGATGTTGTTGTTGTTTTTTATTCAGTATATGTTCTCTTTGGTAACAATTATCAGAAAACTGAAAAAAATTACAATGAACAGAGACTACCTTCCTTTCCTTCTTTTCTTCTTTTGACTCTTGACCATGTGGCTTCCGATTATATATTTCGACTTTAGACTTGTCATTTTCCTCTTCTTTAGTACTCTTCTTCTTCCCACTTTTCCCTGAAGCATCCTTACCCCTGTTAGGCAGGAAGTCCACAGGAAGCTTCTCCTTTCCTTTCAAGTTTATTATGGGCACAGACAATTTTGAAACTTCCGAAATAGTTGGCAACTTCTTTTTTCTCCTTAAACCCGGAGCTTCAATTTTCCCAGGGTGATTGTCCAGATTGGAATATGTTGAAACTACAGTTTCACAATCCCATATTTCAGAATCACTGCTACTTTCATCAAAAAGAACTGTCTCTTCATCTACGCTCTCATTTTCATACTTCTCAGCATATTCCCTGACACGGTTAATCACATCAGGGGCAAATTCAATTGCCTCCTCATCATCAGTCATCTTCTTATTAATACGAAGCATATCTAAGGGGACCTTCTGATTCCCATCAACTTCAGACTCGTGGATTGAGTGAAGCTTAAAAGTGTGACTGAGTTTCTCTGCAAGAGATGCCTCGCAATCATTTTCATCATCCATGTAATCATCACAATCCTCTTCTGAACCGTATTCCTGAAGTTGAAGCTATAAAAAGAAAATGAAATTAGGGTCACGCTCAATGTGATTCGTAGTATATAAGTATACATGTTAAAATGATTCATTGTGTTAATAATTTTATTTCATTGGTTACTTGGAAATTTGGAATGTGTTTCAGTGGCTAAAAGTCTGAAACAGTTAGATTATTTCCAAAATCAATTATACCTAGTATGTAAAACCGACTACTATTATACATCGTAATCAATTATAATCAGAAACCATTTTACTTTAGGTAAAGCTTGCTGAAAAGTGGTTTAAAAATAATTGATGAAATAGTGACTAATATGTGACTGAAACGGTGTTCAGATTGTTAACAGACAAAAATGGGACTTTTTATAGGCAGTGACTGTAGTAGTAATTACACAGCAGTGACTAGGGGTGGACCGGGCCCGGGTCTTAGGCAGGTCATTTTTTTGGGCATGAGGCCCGGTACCGGCCCGGACCCGGGTCGGGTCTTGTATATATTTTTTTGATTTTCCTTATTTGTTCCTCCCCCCCCCCCACCCCCCAAACCACCCATCCCAACCCGCCTACCACCCGACCCATTCGAAAAAAAAATTGGGCCCGAACCGGTTCCAAGAGGGCTCTAGCCCTTTACCCGCCCCAAAACCCCTCCCGGGTCGGGTCCAAGGCCTGGTCCCGGCCAACCGGTTCGGGCCGGTTCAAAACAGTGGCGGGCCGGTCAACCCGGGCCCAATCATCCCTAGCAGTGACTAAGATAGCATATTTGTAGTAACTACGTCATATTTTTGCCTTTCAAACTTATTTCAATTACTTATTTCAAAACTTCATAATCGGTTTGGTTTGGATGCAACAAAATATTAAGCTTCTTACAAGGCAGAAAAGGTCTGCAAACACCACACAAAAACTGTTCATAAATAAGCTGCATTTTTGGATTTTAAAAAAAATTGTTCTAAGAGAAGTAGAATGCTTCCGACATGATGAAGCTTTCAAACTGTAGGTTGAATAACAAGATCTTGGTCTGTAAGAAGA